AATGAGGAAATCCGAATTAGTCAAGTTTTCCGTACAGATACCGAATACGGTGTCTGAAAGTTTAAATCGTATGCATTTTAGTGGATGAAAAAGGAAGTGGACTAGTGCATTCAACGGAAAAAAGTTTGTTTTCGTTTTGCTTTACATTTTCTTTTTGGTATGTGGCTAGCAAGTTTGTTAATAAATCAACTGCTTTCGTGTCATCAACAGTCCAATAAACAATTCGAGCCTAGTCAGCAATTCAATAAGTACTTATTGCTCCTTATTCCTTACTTAAATAATTGAACAATTACGTTTGAATCGATGAAGTATCCTACACTCCTACTTAACTAGCTATCCTTAGCTTTTCATTCTTTTCCTTCCAATTTGACCGGAAGTATGAAGTTTCATTTTTACAATTGTCCACAGGATAGAACTAAAATTATATGCAAATTCACCGGTCCAACTAAAATTTATGTTAATATTGTTGGATTTTTAATCTTAAATGTAGCTTAAAATTATTGGGTTTTTAAGTTTAAATATAGCTTAAAAGAGGGTGAATGGAAAATGGAGGAAAATTGAAAATATTTGAGTTTACCTCCTTGACAAAGAAACATTGTTCTATATTGGAAGAGGAAAAGGGTTTGATGGGTATATATACAATTGCACTTCTTCTAGCTCTTAAAGAGTTAAGAAGAAGGCAATCCTCGCGTCGTTGTCGTCGTTGTCGTCGTCGCTCGCTCGACTCGGCTTCGGATTTGGTCAAATAATTGATTGATTAATTTTTTGGACTAAATTTATTTGTTAATAGTAAATATTAACATAAATGTTATTAAATATCCTTTTTTTGTAAACAGAATATTAATATTAAATCCAACGGAATAGTATATGCCTTTCACTTTTTGTAAAAGACATTTACAATATGGCCGAAATAATTTGCACCTCTTCGGATTTGAAGAACAGTTTGCACCTCTTCAGATTTGAAGAAACCGTTTGCACCTCTTCGGATTTGAAGAGCTGCACCTCTTAAGTTTTGAAGAGTTGCACCTCTTCAGTTTGAGCTCAACATTTGCTATAAATACCAGTCCATTCTCTCATATTTTTCATACGAATTTCTAACTTATTCTCCTTTCTTCTGCATTATTTTAACTACAAATAAAGCAACAGTAAATGTGATTTGCTACCGAACTTTGTGTTCGCTGAAACACTGGGGTTTGAAGTATCGCTACACCAGTGTGTAATTCGTTCTATCGTGGGAGAAAATAATCCACAACCTTGGATACTAGGAGGGGATTAAATTCCTTAAGGAAACACTGTGAATTCAGTGGGCTCGGATTAAATTCTATTTCTTTTACATTTTCTGTTTATATGTTATTTTATCTTCTCAAGAATTATTTTACAAATACAGTTTAGTAACAAGCTTAAGGAATTTAATATTTTCTGTATTTGTGTTATACTCACTGTTTTTGGAGACTAAAACCTGTGTGGTTTTCTACTCCAGTGGAGATTAAAATCTATGTGATTTTAACGTTAGTTTGTGTCATTCATTTACAGAAATGACGAATGACAACGGGAACCAGACTGTTCCTATGGTGACTGCCAATGCATCGACAAGCCAAATAACACCGATATTGGCACCGTCAGAAAAACCCGAAATATTTTCCGGGATTGATTTCAAGCGATGGCAGCAGAAGATGTTCTTCTACTTGACGACTTTAAGTCTACAGAAGTTCATTAAGGAAGATGTTCCTGTTCTGCCCGACGAAACTCCAGAAAATGAACGCTTTCTCGTGACTAAGTCGTGGAAGCATTCTGATTTTCTATGTAAGAATTACATTCTTAGCGGACTAGAGGACGATTTGTATAATGTCTATAGTAATATGAAGACGTCAAAACAACTGTGGATAACGCTTGAAAGGAAATACAAAACGGAAGATGTCGGGTTAAAAAAATTCGTTGCTGCTAAACTTTTGGACTATAAAATGGTAGATAGCAAGTCTGTTATTACCCAAGTCCAACAATTGCAAGTAATTTTTTACGATCTCCTTGCTGAAGGTATAAGTCAAATTAATACTAATATTGAAAGTATTAATTATATTGTTTCTACTAACAGAATTTTTATTGAAGGTCTTGTCATCAATGATGCATTCCAAGTTGCAGCAATAATTGAGAAGTTGCCTCCTTTGTGGAAGGACTTCAAAAACTACTTGAAACACAAACGAAAGGAGATGTCCCTTGAAGATCTCATTGTTCAGTTGAGAATCGAAGAGGACAACAAAGCTACTGAAAAGAAAGGCCGTGGAAACTCAACAATAATGGGAGCAAACATTGTTGAGGATAGAAAAAGGAAAAAGACGTATGGACCGAAAAGCAACCCAAGCAAGAAGCGGTTCAACGAAAATTGCTACAATTGTGGAAAGGCTGGACACAGATCTGCAGATTGTCATGCTCCAAAGAAAGACAAGAAGAAGGGACAATCTGCATATCTGTGTCCAGCTCCAAAGAAAGACAAGAAGAAGGGACAAACAAACATGGTTGAAAAGCACGAAGATATCAATGACTTGTGTGCTATGCTTTCTGAATGCAACATGGTGGGAAATCTCAAGGAGTGGTGGATTGATTCTGGAGCCACTCACCATGTTTGTGTTGTTAAAGAAGCGTTTGCTACATATGCTCTTGTTGGACCCGAAGAGACGCTTTCTATGGAAAATTCTGCCACAGCCAAAATTGAAGGATCTGGGAAGATATTTATGAAAATGACTTCTGGTAAGGTGGTGACTTTGAACAACGTCCTTCATGTTCCCGAGATTAGAAAGAACTTAGTCTCTGCTGGACTTCTTGTTAAGAATGGGTTTAAGTGTATTTTTGTATCCGATAAGATTGTAATAAGTAAGAATAAAATATTTGTAGGAAAAGGTTACCTCACTGAGGGCCTTTTCAAGCTGAATATAATGGTTATTGAGAATAATAATAAAATTTCAGCTTCTTCTTACTTACTTGAGTCAAATGAATTATGGCATATACGTTTGGGTCATGTCAATTACAAAACCTTGCGAAAAATGATTAATTTGGAAGTATTGCCTATGTTTGAATGCGACAAATCAAAATGTCAAATATGTGTGGAATCTAAGTATGTTAAACATCCTTATAAGTCAGTTGAAAGGAATTCAAATCCTTTAGACTTAATTCACACAGATATTTGTGACATGAAGTCAATACCATCTCGCGGTGGAAAGAAGTATTTCATAACTTTTATTGACGACAGTACTCAATATTGCTATATTTACTTACTTAATAGTAAAGATGAAGCAATAGATGCATTCAGGCAATACAAAAATGAAGTTGAAACGCAACTTAACAAGAAAATTAAAATGATAAGAAGTGATAGAGGTGACGAATATGAATCTCAAAGAGGGTGAATAGGAAATGGAGGGAAATTGAAAATATTTGAGTTTTCCTCCTTAACAAAGGGACATTGTTCCATATTGGAAGAGGAAAAGGGTTTGATGGGTATATATACAATTGCACTTCTTCTAGCTCTTAAAGAGTTATGAAGAAGGCAATCCTTGCGCCGTCGTCGCTCGCTCGCTCGCTCGGCTCGGCTTCGGCTTCGGCTTCGGATTCGGATTCGGATTTGGTCAAATGATCGATTGATCGATTAATTTATTGGACCAAATTTATTTGTTAATAGTAAATATTAACATAAATGTTATTAAATATCCGTTTTTTTGTAAACGGAATATTAATATTAAATCCAACGGAATAGTATATGCCGTTCGCTTTTTGTAAAAGACATTTACAATATGGCCGAAACAGTTTGCACCTCTTCGGATTTGAAGAACAGTTTGCACCTCTTCAGATTTGAAGAGTTGCACCTCTTAAGTTTTGAAGAGTTGCACCTCTTGAGTTTGAGCTCAACATTGGCTATAAATACCAATCCATTCTCTCGGGTTTTCCATACGAATTTCTGACTTCTCCTCCTTTCTTATGCATTGTTTTAACTACAAACAAAGCAACAATAAGTGTGATTTGCTACCGAAATTTATGTTCGTTGAAACACTGGGGTTTGAAGTATCGCTACACCAGTGTGTAATTCGTTCTATCGTGGGAGAAAATAATCCACAACCTTGGGTACTAGGAGAGGATTAAATTCCTTAAGGAAACACTGTGAATTCAGTGAGCTCGGATTAAATTCTATTTCTTTTACATTTCTGTTTATATGTTATTTTATCTTTTTCAGAATTATTTTACAAATATAGTTTAGTAACAAATATGATTATCTACCACAGAAAAAATAAAAAGAATAAGAAAGTCAATGGATAAACAATTTTATCTGAACTATTACTTTATACTTTAGTTCGTTTTTTATTAGGGGGGAGAGGGGGGAGGGATGTTATGCTTCTGTTTTAAATAGAATGATCCTACTATTTCTTGGAAGTCAAATTATTTTTCTTTGATTATAATTTTCATAACAGTTTTAATTAGATACTTCATCGATTATGATTTTCATAACAAGTAGAAAGTATTCTTTTTATTTTTACTTTGGTTTACTTTTTTTTTTATACACAAGTAGAAAATATTCTTTTTATTTTTACTTTGGTTTACTTTTTTTATGCATTATTATATTAAATAAAACTGAAAAAGCAACCAAAAAAAAAACATGATGGGCCGTAGGAGATAGAAGAGTGAAGGAAATATGGTGGGGACCAAAGCCGCACCGCTCGCCTATGAAAGAGCAAATTTCCAACTTTAACAATGGTGATTACTTATTCGATTTAAAGACTACCGACACTTCCCATACGTTTATCCCTGTATTATCACTGGTAAGTTTGATAGTATAAAATATATTTATATAATTAAATCACTTAAAAAATTATAATAGAATAATTTTATTAATCAATACAATATTAAAAATAATAATTTATAACAAGTTAAATTACATTATAAAGGCGTCTATGGGTTGAGAATTTAGTATATAATTTTTTTTGTTGGTACACGCATACACAGAGTGAGCGAGAAGAGAGACATACGACTCTTCCAAACAAAGGAATGAGAGAAACTCCGACTGTCACAGCTATACATACAAAGCTGACATGTGCTTTTCTACAGATACAATATTATAATGTATTGTGAAGCTAGAAAGAGAAACTACTACTATTACAACAATAAAGAGAGAAGAAGAAACCCCATTACTCTCTCTCTGCTACTTCTTTATTCTTTCAATAAATTTAAGCACATCTTCTTTTTGGTCACCCATTATTTTGCTACAGACCTAAAGAAAGAGAAAGATAGTGAGTAGTATTGTAGATAGATAGATAGATAGAGAGATAGATAGAGAGAGAGAGAGAGAGAGAGAGAGAGAGAGAGAGAGGAACTACTACCCGCCTGATATTGTAGTATTGTTTTGTTAGTTGCCCATTAAGTAGAGTCATGTAGAAGCTTCAAGTGCCAGCTGATAATTTACCAGATCTCTCAACAACTACTCTGTAACTCTCTTTCTCTCTCTTTCCCTATCTTTCTTGGGTTTTTAATTTGATTTATTTTCTGGGCTATTTCTTGCTACTTCTTTCCTGTGCTTATTTGTTATAAAGATCTATGCTTTTGCTTTATAATTCTTGGGTTATTTGAAGTTGTCAATATTGTGATTTGATGCATTACCCTTTTGGGAAGCAAAGCATATTGCTACTGTTGGTTTATATAGATAGATTTTTCAATTGAGACACTTTTGTTTTTACTTTTACTAGATCCTGACTCAATGTGTTTAGATCTGTGAATTAAGTTTAATATACACTTTACAGACTGAATGTAATGTCTTGTATTGAAATCTGTTATAAGCTGCTTGCAGAGTAGAAGTTTCTAATTGATGAATTTGTAAACCAGTTATTCAGTGTGACTAGTATTAAACAATGAGAGACAGGTTCTGGATCACACATTTATGGTTCATTCCACTGTTTATGGGGGTAAAATTAGACCAATGTATTGTTCTTACACTTCAGTTTCGATGATGATGGTGAATATGGATTAGGTATCCCATGTGTTTTTTTTAAGTCCTGTTGTACATTGTGACACTCATTTTAGATCCCAAAGTATGGTTGAGCTCTCAAGAAATTAGTGCATTTGCCCGTAAGCTAAAGAATCATTTGAATATTCTTCATGAAAATATATATCTTCTCAAAATTGAAAATCAAGTGCGTCTTTCGAGTGCTGTATGATACTATTCATTTGGTAACAGGTCATTATTTCTTGATAATATGGCTCGTCAGTTCATCTTTTGACTTCTTTTTGATCAGGAAAACTAAAGTTCATCTTTTGACTTTTTTTTACTTTTAATCCAGCACATTTCTACTTTTCTGTTTACCAGATAAAGCAATGTTTCCAGTCAATTGGTTATGGTCTTTTGTTCCCATTACAAGCTAAGACTATTAGTTTAATAAGCATTTGAACTCTTTGACTGTATTCAATGATGAGCAAATGGTAGAAAAAATCACTTAATTTAACAAGTTCCATTTGTAAAACTATGTAGTGTTTGAGCTAGAAAAGCTTGACTTTCCTTTAATTGAGCGTGTCAAAAACATGGTAAATTGACTTACTTTCTATGAACTATATTTCCTTGTTTGAAGAGCCAGCTAATCCCCCATCTTTAATAAATGATGACCTCCACTATTTGCTTATATATTTAGGATTACACATTAAGGATAATAAACATTGTTGCATGAAGAAATCAGCTATTGTTGAAAAAATGTTCACATCATTGCACAAAACCTAAGAGGAATGAGTTTTTTTATAATTCAAGTTCACCATCCTGCTTACTGCTAAACAATAAGTTTAGTCTTTGTTGTGATTTTAATCAAGGAAACTCTAATTGAAACCGTGAGCATTCTTATACTAGATGAAGAGACGGAGACTAAAACCTTCTAATGATTTGGTGGATAGAGTACCCGATACCTGTGCTGGTGGAAGATAGCAGGTACCCGATGGAATAATCGAGGTGTGCACAAGTTGGCCGGAACACCACCTTTATATTTAAAAAAGGAAGAAAAAACGAAACCTTCTAATGATTGATATTCCTTTTCCCCCCTAAAAAATATAGGTCTGAAATGCTTTAGCCTCTTTGGTGGAGAAAGAAGAACCTGAAGTTCTTAACATGAAACTCTTAAATAACTTCTGTCTTGTTTTTATCTTTTTCTTTTTTCTTTTTTTTTTGTTGAGAGAGAGAGAGAGATAGGTAAAAGGAGCTTCTTAACCATGACCACTCCTTCAGGTTTAAGAGTCAGAATACAGTCCCCAATTTAACTCCTTGCTTGGTTGCCGACACAACCATCTTCACCTACGAATTTTCAATCGCTTGATATTTTCTTCTGTAGTGTTCATTCTAGAGTATGCTTTCTTCTTCAATGTTCAAGTGTATTGATGCAATTTAATCTATGATCTGCAGGACATGGGAACTCTGGCGCCTGAATCTGAGGTCATATGCTCAGAAAAATACTTAGCATTGGGGCTGAAGGTATCTGGCAAGCAAAAATCAGGAAAACCCAGAGTTCTATCGCTTCTTTCAACACTTCTTGAGAGATCTGTTCAAAAAACCGAAAGCTTATTAGAAAGTACTCAAAGAAAAGATGTGATTACAATATTTCATGGATCAAGAGCCCCCTCGCTGGGTATCGAACAATACTTGGATCGCATTTTTAAGTATTCGTGTTGCAGCCCTTCATGCTTTGTGGTTGCGCACATTTACATGGAGCGATTCATTGAACGCACTAGTGCTCATTTAACTTCCCTCAATGTTCACCGACTACTAATCACAAGTGTGATGGTGGCAGCAAAATTCATTGATGATGCGTAAGTCTATCTCAGATATGATCTATATTACCAAATTATCTTACCCAACTGTTTACTCCATCCGGTCCACTTTCTGCGACATTATCTCCTTTTAATCTGTTCCAAAACAAACGACACATTGTTATAGTTTGGCAACAATTTAATTTTAAATTTCCTATTTTACCCTTAATAACATGATTTTATAGCCACACAACTATTATCAAATGTAGACCACATGTTTCAAAAGCTTTTCTTTTCTGTGTCCAGTCAAACTTGTTCACATAAAAATGAAACAGAGTGAGTGATAGATATACATGCTTTGAGATTTATTGTCATGCTGATTATTAATCAATTGGATAGTTGAGTGTTAAGAGTCCAACCTGAAACTTGAACCCTGTTCCCACCCTATGCGGCAAGCTTTCCGTTAGGATTACTAACACATAGTAGACTCACCGGAATTGTTATATGCATGCATGTATGCTGTTCATTATCTGCTGACTGCCTGAAGCTCAATGATTTTTGATATATTTTATTTAGCAACAGCCAACAGACCCCCTCAAGAGTGAGAAATAACATTTCATTTCTAGGAATTTGCTTGAATCTTTATGATGCTCTGCATAATTTTCAGATTCTATAACAATGCATACTATGCAAGAGTAGGTGGTGTAACCACAAAAGAGTTGAATAAGTTGGAGATGAAATTTTTGTTTGGACTGGATTTCCGACTTCATGTAAATGTCAAGACATTTGGAAGCTATTGCTCGCTCCTGGAGAAAGAAGGCACTCTAGGCCTCCCAATCGAGCATTCAATCCAGGCATGTAGAATCACCGAGAGCTGGTCAAACAAAGACGATTCCACCTGTGCACAAATTGCAAGATGACAATTTGCAATGTTGAAGATTTATCACAAAGCTGAAAGATTCTTTCGGACGTGCAAGAAACTAAAAGATGGGTTTGTACTATATTGTTGTAGAAAATAGTCGTAGTAGTTTGTTATACTCTATTGTTTTACCCATTTTTCCCTTGTGCAGGTGTTCTTTAATGTATTAGTGTACCACCTAGGAACCCCTGGCTCCCCCCCCCCCCCGTATTTGTTACCAGTATCATTCTTTTTCAGGTTCTGTGAAATTTCCCACGGATGTTGATTCCTAAAGAGTTCGTATAGATTGAGAGACATGCTTTACAGTATAAGTTTCTTAGTGTTTTTAGACATCATTTTGTACAACCAAGTCAAGTTAGACATCTGTACCCAGTAGAGTTTTGTTTACATTAATGCACCTATTGTAGCAATCTTTAACTTATAAGTAGTTTTTTTTTGGGGGGGTGATTTGATTGTGTACATCTTTTTTACGGTATCGATGTAAACTCTTTCTTAAATAATCCCCAAATGTTAGTTTAACGATGCATCATGACATTACTAATTGATGTAACAAAACACCTCTTTATCAGCAGGCTGACAACTATACTGTCAGCTATGTTTAGACTAAGAGCTTGCTTCCAAGCTCATACACAAATTCCAACTCACTAATAATCACCGCTTAATATTCAGCAGTTATGTAGAACATGGCTTAGAACATGGCTTGCTTGACACTAATGTAACTCCTAGAATAATGTGAGATTTATACAACCAACAACAACCCAGTATAATCCCACTAGTGGGGGCTGGGGAGGGTAGTGTGTACACAGACTTTACCCCTACCATGAGGTAGAGAGGTTGTTTCTAATAGAAACTCGGCATCCTTCCCTCCAAGAATTTCCCACCTTACTCTTGGGGTGACTCAAACTCACAAGCTCTTGGTTGGAAGTGGAGGTTGCTTACCATCAGAGCAACCCCTCTTGTCTTGAGATTTATACAATCTCTATTTTTAAAAGATAAAAGGCAAATTTTTGAAGAATTAATGAACAAAGATAAAAGTTGGTGAAGGCCATGACCTGATTCCAGGTGGTCTCCCCCTAGTTTGATAACAAAATAAATTTTGGGCCTAACTCAATCACAAAAGCTAGCTCATAGGTAATGATTGCGCAAGACCATATAAGAATAAGGAGTCCAAATGCCCATCCCACATCTCACAAATGATGTGGGACTCAACATACCTAGGGGAATGACATGAGAGAGCATACCATACTAAATATAATAGGAAAATATTTTTCCCATATACCCTCCTATATAAGAACAGGTAGTGAAGTTTGAACATATGATCTCCAGTTACAACAAGAAACTACTAAGTGAATGAATATTGCCCTGGTGGCGCTCAAAAGTATATGTGAGTTTTAAATATTTTTCAAGCAGAAGATCAGTGGGTATCCAAAAGGAAGGACACAACTGTTGGAACCCTTGAAAGTATCTTTATAAGAATGGCTGTTCTGCACTCTCAAAGAAACTCTTACCAATTCTTTCTATTTGGCAAGCTTCATATCTGTTGTCCGATCAATGTTCCTCGCTGTAAATCCAGATCTTTCCTAAAGAGGATCCATCATTCACAAATCGTAATGCATTCTAAATAGACTCCCTTTTCTTGAAAAGAAAGAAAGGTAGGATTAACCAAAGATATATCTCCTTCCGTTTGTGAATCGAGTTGAGTGGAAAGTTTCATCTCTTTCCTACCACTAAATTGGAAGTTGCATAAATAGTTTTGCTTGGCATTTTTTAAATAACCAAACAAATTGATTCTTGATAGAAATAATGTTAATGACTATTCACTAAGCCGGCTGCAGGCCAACAAATGTTATGCAAGCAATTGCCAAAATCCATTTTCTACATTGCAAGATGGTGTGGAGTTTTGGAGTAAACACTTTTCCTATTTGATGAAACGTGAATATTTTAGGAGGTTAGATCCCCCCCCCCCCCCCAAACACACACACACACCCAAAGAGAGATACGCATTCACTTTATATTATAACTTGGAAGGAGAAACTTTCCAAAGATCTGTTACTACTCATTGAATTCCTGTAGGATATTGTTATCCACCAAAGAATACATCGGCTCCGAGTTATTAAATATCATAGTTTTTTTCTTTGTGAAATAACTATTACTAGAAGGTAAAAGAAAGAAACTTTCTATGATAAGACAAGTTCAAAACTAGTTGCCTTTCTTTTTCCCTTAAATACTTCAAGACTTATACCTTATAATATATCTACAAGATAATTGCTTTGGTAAGACTAATAAAATAAATATTTAACTTTTCTTCCCGCTACTGCCATGTGCAACATGCACTAATTTTAACTTGATATCGAATTTCATATGTTCAATTGTGAATATTTTAGTCAAACCAAGACACTAGAAGGTGGAAGGAAATTCACTCAAACTTTTGTCTTACTGGTATATTTTTTTTCATTAAGCCTTTTTTCAAGAAATAAATTTAGGGAATCATTTTCTAATGTTTCAACTAAGATAAAAAAATTTACATTAAAATGGAAAAAATATTTCTCCCTAATGAGCAAAAATCAAATTTCTTAGAACTATTTTTACCTTTTAACTTAATTTTATTTGTTCCAACTAACACTTAGACATCATCATAAATTATTTTCTGTATACTTAGTTTGATATTATGTTTTGACCAAAAAGGTGCTAGTATAAGCTCGTTTTTTTATGACAATGAATGTCACTAACCAATTTAGGAGGTGGTGATCTCCAACTCTTCATAATTAGCTCGATTTCTAGTGTATTTGGTACGATATGAATCATTTTCTATTGGAAAATTTTCAGTTTCTTGTTGGTAAGTAAAAAATTTCTAGAATTTTTTTAAAGAATAATAATAAAATTAGCAAATTGGATAGTGTTGTAATAAAATTTTGAGTAATATCCAAAGAGCTCCACAGAAATTCTACCTTAAAAATTTCGATTGAATGCTGAAATTCTATCACCTCATCAAAGACCATTAGGAACAACATAGCAAGCATTGAAAGTGAACTTTATAAGCTAGTTAACCATCCGATGATCTGGAATTGGCGCATTCAATGAGGAATTACATTAGCTCTCATTTTGAGACACTATTACAACAGTAACCCATTCCTGTACATACTCTCTCCCGTGGTTACAATTTAATAAAAGAACAAAACTGAATCTGAAGCACCTACACCCGCATATCAGCTTGAATTGGCCTGGTAAGCGCCCTTACAAAGTAACTACGAGTCTCCGGTAATACACGTTGAATCAAATGTGAATACCTACATATGAAATTATAATGCCTTAATACACATAACAAGAGAACTATATATTCATACTAATCATTATGAGAATCTTCACTTCAAATTGAATGACATGCTTTGCGATTTCACACACCAAATAGACGTACACTTCCTCATAATGAAATAAGTTTGTATTTATCATTTACTACAAAAAAAACTTGATAATCACCACTTACGTTTCAAAAATTTAAATGACAAAAAAGCATTTTATCACCTTGCGTTTAGCTATACTTACTTGATCAAGCTTTTAATTATAATTACCATAAAACAATAAACAGTCCATATTCTACAAATTACCAAGTTGAAGTACTTTTTTTTTCCTTTTCATAATCCGTGTTTTTTACAGATACTCAGGAGTTCAGGTTGACAGAATAGGTGAAACCTGTGTGTTAATGGCTGGCCAGAGATTAAGGTTAGAAGGATATGCAGTTTGGTTCGTCACCCACCGAACTCAAAAATAATTTAATTAAGGATAGTGAAGTCCAGGACATACCACGGCATGACACTTAATTGGTCAAACTTTTCCAAAATGAATAGAATGCAAGCATTACGTAATGTCAAAGCATTAAAGGCCTCCGACAACTCGAACATGAGAGAGACACTTTCCACAGNTGATCTGCAGCTCTTAGAAGATCCTGTGCAACATCCAAATTAACATCTACAGATCCTGTGTATATGTACCTGCAAGCAAGAGAGATTTGTCTTTAATAATGCAAGATTGACTTCCAAAATCTGAACCAAGGATGTGATGGTAATTAAAGTGCACTCTACCTCATCATCAACTCAAAAACATCCCATCGGATATTTGGGATCTCTATGTCTTTGGCATCTCTCTCCTGCAATACATTATCTACAGACTGTTAGAAACAAAGTATCAAGCAAACCCCAGATACGCTGACACAGTGTAAGCAAATATTTTTGGCTATTAGTTGTCACTTCTTTTGCAATGGCCATGCATACACAATCTCTCTACCTGCACAAGGTGGGGGTAAGGTTGCGTAAACACTACCCTCCCCAGACCCCATTTGTGGGATTACACCGGGTTTGTTGTTGTTGTACAAAAGAAAAAGATAATAGAAACAAACATTTTACACAAACATTGAAGATAAAGCAGGTCTGCTCTTGCATACTTAACAAAGTTGCTAGCCGTCAAATAAAAATAAAAATTTATGAGCCCTTCTAGGGTACGGGTAAGGTTGCGTACATCTTACTCTCCCTAGACCCCATTCCTAGGAACTCACTGGGCTGTTGTTGTAAAAGACATGAGGCTCACGGTTTGAAACTCGATAGATAATGGCCTACCCCTTTACCCTTCTCCAATTATGCACGATACCATCTTTAAAGTTGTCAAGATTGATTTTTACAATGGATGATAGCTTTTACACAGTTAGGAAATGAATAAATTTAAAACATAGAATGTAGACATCTTTTGGCTAGGAATACAACTCACCCGGTAGCCACCATCAAACATAGCTCGAAATGCATCAGAAGAAGCTAGTAAACAAATCCTATGGGCATAAAACCGTTTGCCTGGTGGAAGCACAAAAAAAAGTAAGATACAACATTTAAAAAAAGAAAAAGGGAAGAAAAATACATTAGAATAGTAAAACTGCTCTTACCCTCAACTAAAAATGTCACATCAGACAACGTAGAATTATTTACATACTGCTCTCCCAGATAAACCTGGATTTAAAAGAAATTAAAAGAGAAAAATGAGGGAAAGAGGTACTGCATCAGGATGGAATAAGCTTCACTAATAATTTGAGATCAGAGAGGACAGAAAGAATGAATACAATCAACCAAATATGAAACAGTTTAGGAGAACATAAAATGGTCAAAACAATCAGCACCAAATAGCCAATATTGGGTGCTAAAAGCAGCAAGATTTCATCAAAATGCAAAACATCCAATTCTCCCAAATGTCATCAAAAGTAACTCGGCATTATCTACATCCTCAAAATTGAAGAGTCACCCTAAGCCCACTTTATGGCCTACTTAACACCTTAACCTGGTGGCAGAAACTAAAAGAATTGGAGCAGATGCTCCTCCTCATTTGGGGGTTGGGGAACTACTTTTCAGGTCTTCAAGATGTACAATAGTTTCCAGTCTCGACTAACTATTGAGGGAAAAATCTAAGTC